TGTCTCAAAAAAAAAAAAAAAAAAAAGACTTTATTAAATCCTCATGCGTAACACAAAAGCATAACCTATTGGTTGACTCTGAGAACAGTAAATGACATGACACAACACATATACTTTAGCCATAAATTCTAAAGCGTTTTCCTTCATATCCTGATTGTCTAGTTTTAATTTTATACATACCACTGTATTCACATCAAGGTTCTTAAGTGAAAGAACATCTTTTGAAATAAGGTGCCTGTTTTCTCTATAGGCATTAGTTTATTGTAAATAAACTCTTTCAGTGGGCCAAGAGAAAGTCACTGTTGGTAAATAAATGCTCCATTTGCACTTAAAGAAATGTATTGTGTTTGGGGGTGATGTATTCTCTAAAATGGTGACATTCTGATGTGCTGTGTATATATATTAGTTCTAGTATTGACAGGGATGTTAAAGTCTATAAACTATAATGGCATTACTTGTCTCTCTGAATCAGTTCTTATAGAAGGTATTGTCAGTGGCATACACTTTTAGTACTCATGTCTTCTTGGTGAACTTTTATCAAGGAAACTATTACTACTACATCCACTCCAGCTTTCATTTAATAGCTTAACATGGTCTTTTTTCCATCTTTTCACTATTAGCCTACCTATTTCATTTGAAGTGAATTTCTTATAGACAACATATAATTGGTCTATATGAAATACAGTCTATAATTGGTTTTTTTTTTGAGATACAATCTCATCATATAATTGGTCTATATGAAATACAGTCTATAATTGGTTTTTTTTTTGAGATACAATCTCATCATATAATTGGTCTATATGAAATATAGTCTATAATTTTTTTTTTTTTTGAGACATGATCTCACTCTTCTGCTATAAGCTGGAATATAGTGGCAAGATCACAGCTCACTAGGGCGCTGAAGTCCTGGGCTCAAACAATCCTCTCACCTCAGCCTCCTAAAATGCTGGGATTACAGTATGAGTCATACACTCAGCTCTCGGTCTATCTTTTCAATGGTTTGTCTATACCATTTTCATTCAGTGTAATTATTGATAGGCTTGGATTTAGTTCTACCTCCTTATTTGCTTTCTGGTTTTTTGCCTGTTTTTTGTTCCTGTTTCCTCTTTACTGCCTTCTTTTAGGTTATTTGAACATTAGGTATTCCATTTTCATTTATCTATTGACTATTATCAATAGACAAGTAGATAATATCTCTTTGCAGAGATTTTTTTAATGACTGCTCTAGGATGAAGTATTTTAATTCTTAAATATCTAACAGTGAGTATCTTTTTTCAACTACTATACTCTCACCTGTTGCCAACTTCTCATATAAATATTGTAAATGCTCTTGTTTAGGTAGCTCAGCTTCTGGAGTTGGGGAAATTTCGAACTCAGAGGAGCTCTGGGAATCCACATTTGTGCTAAGATTTGGCAGACTTCTTTCCTCAGGTGTATGTTCCCTACCTCTGAGAGAAGTTGGTTCTCTAACACTAGACACTATAGTTAAATCTTGATCTCTGCTTTTCAAATCAGAGTCAGTGTCTTTTGGGCAAAGTACAGTTTGTTCCATGTGAGAGGCAGGAGTATTCTCTTTGATTCTAGGTCTACAGCCAACTTTGTTTAAGGAACTAATATCCCCACCATTTTTCTCTTGGGAAGATAACAAAACAGTATCAGATTGGCTGTCCCAGCCTTGACTTCCTTGTTCTGTTATATGTGTTGACTGAGATGAATTCTGGGAAGAGATGTGGGTAGATTCTCCATCAGAGTCACTAAAAAGCTTTGGTGACTGAGATCCCCCTGCTTCTGTAGAGGAAGGGCAGTTTCCCACACTCTCATCTGTGACTTCATCAGTTCTTTTAAAGAATACCTCCCACTGCGGTACATCCCCCTCAGCCTTTTGCTGGGGAAGTGGTTCAGGGCTCAGATCTCCTTGCAGTGAAGCTGGGATCTCTGATTCTTCTTCACTTTCACTGTTGGATTCTTCACAATCTACAAAGTTTGCCAAAGAAGAGCTTTGCATACCCTCTGCTTTGTAGCACCCTGTGCTTTGTCTCGATTTTTCAGGCTGTTTTTCTGACATTGCAGTCACTGAAAATACCTCAGGGTGAACAGTTTGCTGATGTGGAACCTTGTGCCTTAGAGGTACTGGCAGAGGGTCATCAAAGAGATCATCCTCTTCTTCCTCTGTGGGGCAAACAAAAGAAGTTATAGGAAACAAGCAAAGGGAGCCATGTTGTGCTTTCCATAAAAATCCATTTGTACAATTTACCTACCTTCTTTATTCCTAGAATCACAAAGAATACAGAGGTAGATCACTCTTCTCCAAAGAGTAATTAGAAGTTTCTTTATTCTTGGGATATTCTGAATAATTTAACTACCATCCTTCAACTTTTGATAACGTTAGACTATCAGTTGAGGATATAGGTCAGTCACTGTCTCACCGGGCTGGCTAGTCTTTATAATCACAGGGAGAGCTTTTTTAAAAATACAGCTTTCTCTATCTCATTCTAGACCTACTGAATCCCTAAAAAAAGTAGGGCAAAAAGATTTGATTTTTGTTTTATTTTTTAAAGTTCTGCACCTGATTCTGTTCATCAGGGTAGATGCCAGGGAAATACATCAGGTTAAGTCAACTGGTTAGTGTCAACAACTAAAAGTCAACAAAAAGTCATTTTCCTGATTTTTAAACATGCAATATCAATAAACAGTAATCCTAGTCCACTTAAATTTTTAAAATGATGAAATCCTTACTTGGAGGATGGAATTCTCATAAATAAATTTTCCATAAAGTAAACTGCAAAGCCATGGGATTGGGGGAAAACAAATATTTTCCTGCCTTCTAATGGCACCTAATCTAAAGGAAACTAAATACCCAGGAGACTGCTACATACGGCAGCTTTTCTTGTTCTACTGATGAATCTGGTGTTAACTTACAATAACCTACTTCTTAGAAAGATGACTACTTTCCCAGAGATTAGCACTACAAAGGGGCTAAACTAATGGACCCTAGATACCATCATCCAGCTCCCACTGAACTCATGAGGAGACAGGCCAGAGAAGCAGTGTGCCAGTCACAGACTCAACCTCATTTGTAACTGGTCTTGCCCTTCATTTCTACAGGGCTTAAGGTGACTGAGATGTCTGCTTACTGTATTTGGAGTCATCCCAGTCTCCAGGATATGGCTTAACCCAGTGGTCCCCAACCATTTTGGATGTTTCATGGAAGAAAATTTTTCCATGGGACTGAGATAGGGCAGCAGGTTTGAGATGATTCAAGCACATTATATCTCCACTTCTGATCATCCAGCATTAGAGTCTCACAAGGAGTGTGCAACCTAAACCCCTTGCACACACTCCTATGAGCATGGAGTGCTTGCACTTAGCCAACAGGAGGTGGAGCCCAGGCAGTGCCCATGGGGAGCAGCTGTAAATACCAATGAAGCTTCTGTAACTTACCCACTGCTCACTTCCTGCTGGGCAGCCAGCTCCCTAATAGGCCACACACTGGTATTGGCCTGGGAGTGAGGGACCACAGGCTTAAGCCATGGATGATCTTTGTTGTAACTCCTCCACTGGTATACCTAGAATATCTTCTTTTAAAATGTTTTTAGAAATTGGATAGTGACTGTACCGGTATCATGGTAAATTTAACTGACAAATCTTTCCTCTGTTCATTTTCACATCATCTCATGTGTATACTAGAAAAACAAGACTCTATATTCTTAAAAATTTACCCTAATGTTATGTACTTTGTTATGACCACAGAGGATTTTTAAACTTTATGAAAGTAGAAAGCACGTAACACTGAGAGAATGTCACAATAAATATAAAACTTGTCACAATCCTTGAGAGTTTACACAAACTGATACTAAAACCACCTAAACTCAATGACAAAAAGGGACAACTGTCAAACAATTCTTAGATGCTTTCCACCATCATGCATTATTGATTATAAAAATCATACTGAAAAGCAATTTGGCTTTGTATTAAGCACCTTAATTTCTACATTATATCCCAACTGATGTGAAATAGACTTATGTATGATGTTGTTCATCACATTTACAAAACTAAGTAGTTCTAAATAACCTAAACATATGCCAGAGATTAAATGTACCATTGTATACATCATAACAATATGGAACCACTAAACGGACGTTTTTGAAGAGTAACACAAGAAAAACTTCCCACCAAATGTTTGAAGTGAAAAAAATCCACATGTTTAAATTTAGGTGTGTATATAAAAATGGTCTAAAGCTTCTTTTCAGCCTGTGTGCCCCTCTGTAATCTTGTAATTGTGCCATTCCTGTAACACCTTCCTCCTTGCCTTGCGCCAAGTGTCCTGTCTCCACCACCCTGGCCTCACCCAAAGAGCTCCAGTCCATCTCTCCGGTGCCTCCAGAGCCCCAGGACATCAGGCCAGCACTAGTCACTGCTGTTCTCAGCCCACTGCCTGGGTGATGCTGCTTTGGGAATATTTTCAACACCACTCCTGAGTGTTGTGAATATTTATACAAATGAATAGAAAGCAAAGGAAATATATTAAAATGCAAATCAAAATAATTTAGATTTGTGTGGTCCTACATAACTTTCTGTTTTCTCAGTTACTATACTCTGTGAAGGAGGAACAAAAATGGTAATTTTATAGAAGTGGTCTCTGGGGATAATTTAATAGTGATAAATTAATTATGTAAATATAAAACATCAGAGTACAAAAAGCTTCTTAAAAGAGGCTAAGAGGGGTAGCGCCTGTAGCTCAAAGGAGTAGGGTGCCAGCCCCATATGCCAGAGGTGGCAGGTTCAAACCCAGCCCCAGCCAAAAACTGTAAAAAAAAAAAAAAAAAAAAAGGCTAAAAAGAACGCTTTTAGAATTTGGCCCCCAGATGCTCAGACAAGAACACAAATCTTAAAACAGCCAATTCAACACTACTTGTATGAGCACTGACTTGGATCAAGAGGACAGTTTAAGTACTAAATGATCTGAAAGACTAGTCATCAAATCTGTAGAGATCACCAGAGATTTCAAAGCATCTTCACAGGACAGAATGGTGATTGTAAAGTTAATGACATACCTGGACTAAAGTATGAGGGCCCCTGTTGCTTACAAAATACATCTAAAGAAAGTAACATTAAAGCGCTGTCTACAGAGCTGCACTTGTTCAAATGCAAGAAAAGCTACAAAGATTATTGCCGTAATACACATATTAGTAAGGAACAAAAAGCCTAAGGAATCAAAAAAACAAAATCAAAGCTGACAAAAGTTAAGAAAAATAAAATGGAAATGATCATCCATTCAAAAAAAACGTAAAACCAGTGGCCTAATTCAAAAAGACATTCATCATCAGGTCAGCACCCATAGCCTAGTGGTTATGGCACTAGCCATACGCACCAAGGCTGATGGGTTCAAAACCAGCCTGGGCCAGCTAAACAACAATTAACAACTGCAACAAAAAATAGCTGGATTTTGTAGCGGGAGCCTGTATTCCCAGCTACTTGGGAAGCTGAGGGAAGAGAATTGCTTAAGCCCAAGAGTTTGAGGTTGCTGTGAGCTGTGACGCCATGGCACATTACCAAGAGTGACATAATGAGACTGTCTCAAAAAAAAAAAAAAAAATTCATCATCAAAAACCACTGTGGACTGGGCAGATACACAGATCATCAGCAAGTTTATCCTGCCTTCAGGTAGGATGGAGCAGCAGGAACTAGATCCAACCTCCCACCTGAAGCAACTCAAAACCAAACTGTAAGGAACAGTGGCACTCAAGCAACCGTCAACCAGGCAACAAAAGACAACAACATGAGAAATGGGGAGTAGACCAGCCCTGAGATGGCCCAGCTCACTGCTTGGTGGCTGATTCCGGTCAGGGAGGGCACATCCAGATACAGCCTGTCAACATCCCTGACTTGAGGTAGAACTGGGAGTCTGAGGAGATCAAGGTGGCTGGAGTTTGCAGAGCAGAAAGCCGGAGGAGAAGCTGCCAGGAGAGAAGGTGGAAGAGCTGCCAAGGGGCCTCCCATGCACAGGTGCCAAGCAGCACATGCTTGTAAGGGAACCACCAGGAGCCAGGGAAAGAATCATCTGAAAGAATCACCCAAAAGTAACGGGAACAGCACCCAGTCCTCACCCAGTGAGTTCCGGGAACAGTGACTTCCCTACAGCCACAGGGAGAAACCTTATAATCCATGGGCATTTGTAAGAGAACCAAAGGGCCTTTCTTCACTAGTGGGGAAAGTTGCCCACAGACTAAATTCTGCTGGGTCCTGCCACACACAGATAAAAAGACACAAGAGGACAGAACTGTAAGCATGTTCATCACGTTCCAAAACAAGTTTTTATCATTACTTTAAAAAAAAATTTTAGCCCCATACCTGAGGACAATAAAGAATACTTCTAGGAATCCACAATTATATAAGACCTAATGTACACTAACAGGTGAAGCGAGCAGTAAATTTTGGTATTGCTGTGCAGGGGACAACTGCTTATCGATAAAGAATGAATCTCCAGCGTGCTGCGTGAAATAAATGAAATACTCTGTGATTCTATGAAATAAATGAAATACTCTATGATTCTATTTAAAATTCTAGAAAATGCAAACTAATCTGTAGGGACAGAAGGCAGATCAGTGGTTGCTGTTGCAGGGGTGAGGACAGGGAGGAATTGCCAAGTGGCATAAGGAATCACTTATGATTCCTTGAGAGTCATGGTTTTCAAGTGTACACATAAGTGAAAATGGAGCAAATCATATACTTCAATCATGTGTGAGGTATAATGTATCAGTGATATCTCAGTAAAGCTGTTTTTAAAAAAACAGAACTAAATTAGTAAAGATTAGAGGATGGGGTTAACATGTGAAATGAACGGAACTGTTTTCTAGAACTTTTGAAAGACAAAGGTGTTTTCTTTCAGACACAGTAATAGGCTTACTGTATCAGTCCTGGAATTTGCATCTAAATGTTTTCAAATTAGATCCTAATTAGCAGAAATGCAAAGAAGCAGAGATGGGAGAGACAGACCTAGATTGGAATCTCAGCCCATCACTTACTTCCTGCTAGACCTTAACTCAATAAACTTCAGTTTCTTCATCAGTAAAATTCAGATTGTACCCCCTCATAGATTTGTTTAGAGGTTAGGCTATAACATATGCATTTAGCGTAATACCTGCCACATAGCAGGGGTTCAATAAATAGCATCATTATCCAGTGTTTGGTCACATATTCCTCATGCAGCACGCTAACTGGCTCTCCACCAAGGAATGGAAATTGAGAACCTCCCCACTAAATCAGGCCGCTGTACTTCAGAGCTTACCTCTGTCTTTCGCTGCACAACAAAAGTAGCAATTAAAAGGTAGAAAAGTATAGAGAAAATCCACTTATATAAACACTACTGATCAATCGGACTAGAAATGACGACTAAAAAAGTCTCTGTTCTTAGTATATACTAGTATCTTAAGGAGGTGTTCAAGGCTAACAACCTGGCCTCTTCATGGACCATGCAAGTCTTAGGGCCTATGCCTAGAAAGCTGAGACCACCACACGGTACAGCCCAGTTCTCCCCACTTGTTTTAAACCTATGAAAGACAGCTGTCTCCTGATTTTACAGGCTAAAGACAGGAAGGCAAAGCACGTCCCAAGATCATAGGACAAGTCTGAGCTCCATGGGGACCAAGGCCACTCCCACCAGACCAGAGCACCCTGGAAAGCGGTCTCTCCCAGAAGCCCACATCTCTGAATCCAGGACCGTTCTTCTTACCTGAGTCTTGGTGGAGTGTTCTAGCTCTCTTCAATTTTCCCAGTGGTTTATACTTCGGCTCAGTTCTCTGGGAAGATCGGCATAAAGGCTTTAAGCTGAAATGAATCAGAAGATTTCATTTTTCCTTTTGGGAAAGCTTCTGGGAGGTAAGCATCATTTATAAAGACTACGAAAACATGGCCATAGGGGAAATCACGTAACACTTTGTAGCACTGAAAAGCAATGTTTAGTATTTAAAAATCCTGTCAGTATACTAAAGTAGTGATTATAAATGCTTAAATCCAGCCTGGTAGAGGGAAACATCTTCAGCAGACTTCAGCAAAACTTCCATCTTTGCTCACATAGTACAACAAAGGCAGGTCCCTATCCTAAAAACCTATTAAGTGACACAGTGGCATTTGGCATTCAGGGCGTACAGTAAGCTAGTTGCTTCCCTTTCCCTGTTTAGCAAGAATCTCACTAATTGGATCTCTTTGTTCCAGAGCCTTAGACTGAAAGGTAAGACACGGGGGAGAGAAAATACAAAAAGGCACAGAAATAAGATTGGAAGGTATCCTACCCCTTTCCCGGGGTCTCCTTGCTAACTGCCTCCCTTCAGATTCCTGGAAGCCGTTAGGATGATCTACAACACACCTCCTGAACAGAGCCATTAAGCTCCCGACCTGAAACGCATGCACAGCCACCCTCACCAGACATCCCGCCTCTGTCCTCAGGTCCACTAAGTTTTCTGGACTTCCTCTGAGCCCCCAGCCTCACCCCCAGGACCTCTGCCATGTCACTGCATCTGTCTGCAGCCATTTCATCTGTTTTCTTTGGGGACCTTTTCAAAGTGGGGTTGTCCTTCTCTACCTACCTACAACAGGATCTCCCAGTGAAAATGCAAGATGGGAAAGATGCTTTTAACAAGCACCCCCACTGATGCTTGAGCACGTTCAAGTTTATGTGTATTCAAGCTTAGCTCCGTGAGGCACACTGAAGTCTCAGCTATTTTAAGATCAAGCCTCTACAGACTTTGCTGCCTCCAGCTACCATCTGGTCCATGAATTCTATCCTCAGTAGTCTCCATTTCTCAAACTCCTGAAATCTGGCTTCCAACTCAGGTCTACTGAAATTGCTCTCGCTGAGCTCACATAGGTAACAGGACACTAGGTCATCTCTATATTATGTGACTTTGTGAGAGTCTGACTTTGGCACCCACTACTCCCTTTCCTCACCCTGCTTCTGCTCTGGGCCACTATCTCCAGCTCACCCCAGTGCCGCCTTCCACTCCCACCCCCAGGTCCCTTCAGAGGTGCTGCCCAGAGCTCTAGCTGCAGCTTTGTGAGCCTCCTCACACCTTCCTGGTGACTTCCTATGTCCTCAAAGTTTCAGTTGTCACCTGTAGTGCTAATTCCAAATCTGTGTCCCACTGAGACCTCCTGAATCTTCTTTTCCATCAACTTTTACAAGTTTGGTCTGTGTGTCCTCACTGGGGTCTCTGGGGCAGATTCCCTGACACCAAGCGTGGTTCCCTCTGTCCCAGAGCAGCGTGTGTACAGCAGGTAGCATGCCTTCCTGTATTCCTGGCCGCCCTGGGACGCTGGGGCTCTGCCAAGGTGCCCTGAACCTCAGGAGGATCCCAACTGGATCCCAATCACAGTGCTCACCACATAGCTGGCACTGAAGGTATTTTTAATGAATGTATAAATGAAACTCAAGGAAGAGGTGAAAAAAGGGAAGACTATAGTAAAAGATACCATTATACTGTTTCACCTCTCCTTGGCTTCCATTTATCCATTCAACAGATAACCTTTAACCACCTACTTGGCATTGGCCATGCCAGATGCATTTCATGTATTAACTCCAAATCTCTAAGAAAGCCAGTAAGAAGTCAGGAGTATCCCTTTTGTTCTGATTAGAAATGACTAGCTCGGCTTGACGCCCATAGCACTGTGGTTACGGCTTCAGCCACACACACTGAGGCTGCCGGGTTTGAACCTAGTCCGGGCCAGCTAAACAACAATGACAACTGCAACAAAAACTAGCTGTGGTGAGCGCCTGTAGTCCCAGCTACTTGGGAGGCTGAGCCAAGAGAATCGCTTAAGCCCAAGATTGTGAGGTTGCTGTGAGCTGTGACGCGACCGCCCTCTAACAAGGATGCCATAGTGAGACTCTGTCTCAACATCAAAAGAAAATGAAAGAAATGACTAGCTCAGAGAAGTAATGTTACCAAGATCACAGGGCTAGCAGATGGTGGGGGGATGACATTACTTGTGCCTTCTGCCCCACTGTGGACTAAAGGAAATACTCCGGGAAATAATGGAAATGAGCATGAGTTGAGAAATGTCAGAAACAGAAACAGTTCCTGATTTGTAAACATCTAGGCACATCGAGCCACAACAGGGAGGCACACGAGTTCCACACGTGGTAACTACTCACATTTCTATCACTTTATCCATAGTTGTCCCTACTGGAATGACGTTTGGATACACATTCTCAGGACAGATGTAGCTCAAGAAATCTTTAATCTAGGAGAAAAAAGATAAAATGGATCAACTATCATATCTCTTTGATGAAAAGCAGGGTGTGAGAGGAGCGAAAGGGAGGCAGGGTGAGAGAAGCGGAAATCCCCCAGGGCTGTGGCTCTCAACACTGGCTGCATTGGGAGTCACCTGGGGACCTCTTGGGAAGAAGCAACAGCGGAGGCCCAGGGACACTGAGTGAATGCAGGCCTGGGAATCAGTACATTTCAGTGTCCCCGGGTGATTCTGCTCCACAGTAAGAGCTGAGAATCACTGAGGAAATGGGGTTCAAAGATTCTTTATTTTTAAATACGATTTCCTTGTCCAAGAAGGTCAATAGCCCATGTTTAACAAATCTTTGTTAGTTAGAATTTAGCTGAATGTTGACTGTTAAACACACAAGAAAATAAAGTCTTAGCTTTGCATTTCTTAGCCAGGCACAGTGGTGCACATGTGTCGTCCCAGCACTCTGGGAGGTTGAGGTAGAAGGATCGCTTGAACCCAGGCATTCGGGGCCAGCCTGGGCAACATATATATTTTCTCTTTTAAAAAAAGTATTCCTTTCCTCCTACAAATAGTAAAACGAACTGCATCTTCAGGATTATTTAATTTGTTCTAACATCAAGCAGAACACTATGCACCAGTTACCAATCCCAGGGAAGGACTCCAAACACTTCCTATTGCATCCTGGTCTCAGGAGTCCCAAGGAAAACAAGGAAGTCAAGCGCTGGATGGAACAATGTGGAACAAGATCAGAGGGGCAGGCTGCCTACCACCGTCTCCTGCCCTGCAAGAAGGACCATCTGCCTCCCTCCTAGTGTCTGAAATAATGGAAGCTGGGGTATGCCTGAGGGCTGTTGACACACAGTCTTAAGCAGAACAAGGAACCCACACTGAATCGAAAACAAAGGTATTTCCACATAAGGCAATAAGTTGGTACAAGCTGCGTGTGCTCTTTGTCTTGGAGAGAAGTGTTCCCAGCCCAAGGCACATTCTTCTGTGGCCAATACAGGTTGGAAGGTTGTGTTCCTGGGCCTGCCTTTCCCAACACTAAATTCTAAACAAGCACAATTAAATGTAAAAAGAGCCACAAATGCCTTGAATTTGTGCAAAATTCAGAATGAACAAACTTTCACTAATCCTCCAAACATCTCTACAACCCAGGCAAACTTTGTCACTTATTAGATCTTGGCAAGATTGTGATCTCAGCTGAGTTACCTAACATCTTAGATGCTTCATCTAAAAGTATAAATGAGATAACATGTGAAGTGCTCAGCCCAGTACCTGGTAAGTGGTGAAACATTCACTGAAATTGTCCATTAGAAAGTTGACAATGAGAACACAAAGATTTTTATCGCCTTCTACAAAGGGAAAGACAGACTAGGTCACAAAATGACTATTGTAAGTATCCAACTTTCCAAAGAGAAGACCAAGTCAAAAGAGGTAGGAAGCCAAGAATTACTGTTAACTCTATATAAAAATAAAATGGCTACTTTAAGCCAAGGCAAGATCTCTTCATTTTTCATAAATAATTTCTTGTGTACCTTCAAAGTAGGCATGAGAAGAGAAAACATTACTTGCCCGCCCATTACCTATGTGACTAGCACAATCAATTAAAGTTGAGGCCAGTAGAAATCTTAAGACTTCTTAAGGTAATGTGGATAAAGACAGCAGGGTCAAGTCTGTACTAGAAACAAGTCACTACCTGTTCTCAGGGACGAAGTAGCCTCAGGGAGGAGAGAGACACCCAGGAGAGGTCACCCTCTCCCTTGCACAAACTAACTCCCTGTCACCAAATACCTGCCTTAAAACAATAGAGTAACACAGTCGATTCTCTTTGTCCACAGAAGTTACATTCTATAAAGTCACCACCAATAACCAAATTAGCAAATGCTGAACTGTTGCTCCTAGGGGAAATATAGGGTAGGCTTCCTGTAAGCCTGGACAACATCATTTTCATCGATCAGTCAATACATAATCTTGTTTGTGTGTTTCTGTTTAAAGACCCCACATTTACTATATACTGTTGACTTATTAACATTGAACTCATGGACAACAGAACTACAACTCATGTCTGAATAAAGTTTATCTAATGTTTTCCCTCCATAAGGCACGTCACAGGCTTCTTGCACCTAGAGCACTAGACAGAACTTCAGTTCTATGCTTGGTCACCGTTTACAACAGTGATATCACGAACACAAAGCTGGAAAATATGAAAAACATACCACTTAATAAACCCACAGAAGACCCTGCTGAGACCATGAGAGGGAAGCACGCAGGCTGAGCATGGCCTTATGTGGTCTGAGCCAGGAGTGTGCAGGTCAGGGGACTCAAATTTTTCGCCACTCTGTGCCACAAATGATCACAAAAGCACTTTAACCACTGGTATTGGAGTTACAGATCTGTTTCAGGGAGTAGGAAAACACAGAAATAAGGAATCCATGAAAAATAAGAATTGGCTATATTTAGAAGAAAAAAAGAAAGGACATGAGATTTAAATAAAAAGATGCCTCTGAAAGTCAAGGGAACCACTGTCAACCGTGAAGGCTGTGGCCAGTCAGCAGGAAGGGCTATGAGTACATGGAGTCTCTTACCTCGCTGTAGGAAGAGTGAAAAGAAAAACAAGCTCTGTATGAACTCTCTCCCGTCCTAAAGGAAAAGGAAAAGGTCACTTGGCCAAACTAAGTTCTAAATCTTGACCCTTCCCATTTAGGCTATTTCAGTATGAAATCACCCTAACTTAGGAACTTCTGCTCGGGATAGGAGTGAACCTTCTTCAGAAATGGAACTCTCTGTCGTACGTGTCTACATCCTGAACAGCCAAAGTTAAGAAATGTTGCTAAGGTATTATGACCATTCTCTGTGACATCAGTTTATGACTTCTAGGTGAGGACCCTCCATCTCTAACCGCCTCACTAGGCTAACCCGAGCAGCGCTCAGGACAGCCTGCCCAGTACTCTTATGATGGGTTTAGAAGCAGCTTATCCTCAGATTAAAGTTTAAATTTATGAAATCATTTCCCACACCTCCTCTTCTTTGGCTTTGACTAGATTGCATTTAAACTAAATTAAATCAGACAATAGACCTGAAAACTGGGCTTCTCTCAGAAGACTTCCAGCATTGCTTTCTTACCTCACGATTACATTTGTTTTTCTGGTTCTTTCTCCAAACCACATGGTAGATGGCTTAATGCTGATTATGTGGAGTGGAACCCTGTTTTTGGAAATAATTCCACAGGGTAATCTGTTCCACTGAAAATATTCCTCTGCCTAAAAAAGATAAAAAAAAAAAAATAGAAAAACAGTTGTGCATTCGCAGTGAATTGGTTTATAGGAAGGGTCTCAAAAACAAAGGTAGATTAGTTTGTAGACATGAAAGAAAAATGTAGATGTGAGAAAACAATCAGGTAATTCCAAATTGAGAAAAGTTTTGCAAAGCAACTCTTCAAAACCATCACCCTGAGGTCAGAGAGGCAAACGGCTGGAGATAAGACCTACATCAGCACACCCTTCAGGCCTGACTGAATGCAATGTGTGACCCATAATTACATCCTGGGTGCCCCCTCTGCCTGCACTACAAGCTATATGGGGCACTACTGGGACCACTGGGGAAATCTGAGTATGGACTGTATACTAGCTAATGGTACTATATCAACGCTCTGTTGTCTGGATGAAGGGAGGGATAGTACCAGGGTTACTCAAGAGAATGTTATTTTTCCTTAAGAGATACATGCTGAATGACTGAAGGTCAAGTGTCATGAACTCTGCCACATACTCCCAACTGGTTTGGGGGGATAGGTGGTTATACACACATGGACAAAACGTTAAAACTGGTGAATCCAGATGAAGGGAATATGGCATTCTTTATCCCAGCTTGCCTTAGAACTCTATTGTTATCAATTTTTCAAAAAAAAAAAAAAAAACGGAGGAGAAAAGGAACAAGAATGTTTTTGAAAGGCTGAAAAATAATAGGATGGCTTTTCCAAAGGCATTATTTTTACTTCGGGTCCCCCAAAATCATTAGCCCTCCACCCCAATCAGATACTTTCAGGGACCTTGGTGCTGTTCTCAGGAGGCTCAGGAAGAGAGCCAAGACAGGGCTCGACCAGTGACAACTTCCTAGTCAGTGCTGGTAAAGGCTGTGTGATCTAAATAATACCTTGAACTGTTAGAAGCAGTGTCTCAGGATAGCAGCCATGACAGTAGCAGCATTACAAATTAAGCTACTCTGTGGGATGTGAGCAATTCAAAGCAAAGAAAGATATGCTAATTAAAAGAAGTATAATGTGGGGCTGGGTGCAGTGGCTTATGCCTATAATCCTAGCATTCTGGGAGGCCAAGGTGGGTGGATTGGTTGAGCTCACAGGTTCAAGACCAGCTTGAGCAAAAAGCAAGACCCCCCATCTCTACTAAAAATAGAAAAACTGAGGCAAGAAGATCACTTGAGCCTGAGTTGGAGGTTGCTGTGAGCTGTGATGCTACAGCACTCTACCCAGCACAACAGCTTGAGATTCTGTCTCAAAAATAAATAAATAAAGATGTATAATGCAAGGAACCAAAGAACGTAAGTCTAATAGAAAAACGGAACAAAATCATTTAGATTTAACATGCACATCCAAGGATGTGGTTTTTAGCCATCCAAGGATACGCCGGGTATGTGTATGTGTGTGAATATTATGTGTATTTATTTAAGTACACACCAAAAAATGGTTGGAATACGCAGCTTACCAATTATCAAAGGCAATTTCCTGGCTTGCAGCTTGCTTTCAACAGCCTAAAGAAGAACAGTCCACGCTATGGATAAGAATTCTTTTTTTGTCTAAAATTATGCTTTATTATAAGAGCCAACCAACTTTACTTTAGACTTTTGGCTGACGGAACCAATAATACTGCCACAATAGTGATCCATATATAAAGGCATATATATGGTATTTGCTAAAAAAAAATTCCTCAGCATTTGAATGGTTAGGCTACTTTTAAGATTTAAAGGAAAATTACATTAACTCATATCACTAGATTTGAAGACCATTAATTTAGTCTTAGCAATTTAAGTTTGAAAAACTAAAATTTAATTTTTATTTGAATAAAAATTGTGGCTCGGCGCCTATAGCTCAACCGGCTAAGGCGTCAGCCACGTACACCTAAGGTGGCGGGTTCGAATCCCCAGCCCGGACCCGCCAAACAACAATGACGGCTGCCACCAAAAAATAGCCGGGCGTTGTGGCGGGCGCCTGCGGTCCCAGCTACTTGGGAGGCGGAGGCAAGAGACTCGCTTGAGCCCAGGAGTTGGAGGTTGCTGTGAGCTGTAATGCCACGGCACTCTACCCAGGGGGACAGCTTGAGGCTCTGTCTCAAAAAAAAAAAAAAAAAAAAAAAAAAAATTGTACAGGCAAATTAGAAATGGAAGCCTTACACCTGACATTTGATAACAGATGGGGCTCTAAGGTGGCATTAGAAAACCACCACAGGTGACTTACAAAAACACTGGAAACACTCATTTGAAATAGGACCATCAATATATAACTATTTCAAACTGTGAAAGAAAGTTATACCTAAATTTGTTTTTAGACACAGTCTCACTTTGTCACCTTGGGTAGACTGTCATGGCGTCATAGCTCACAGCAACCTCAAACTCTTGGGTTCAAGTGATCCTCTTGTCTCAGGCTCCAGAATAGCTAGGACTACAGGCACCCTCCACAATGCCTGGTTAGTTTTTCTATTTTTAGTAAAGATAGGGTCTCGCTATTGCTGAGGCTGGTCTCAAACTCCTGAACTTAAGCAATCTGCCTGTCTCGGCCTCCCAGAGTGCTAGGATGACAGGCATGAGCCACCACACCCTGCCTATACCTAAATATTTATCTCGAATGCATAGAAGGAAAATATTTGTAAAGCATGCTCATGTCATACATCTCAAAATAAACAGCAGTGTTTCAATAAATTATAAGTTATAATGTATTACCAATTTCATTACAAAAAATTTGTATTCTCAAATATGCATGAATAGATTTCATCAGAAAACTATTAAGGATCTGTGTCTATTCGCCAACTTTGAAGGGTAGGGTAGTGGACTCCAGTAATGTAGAGTTACGTGAACACAAGCTAACAATTTAGGATGATAGCCTCACTTTTTATACCTGTAAAGTGAGGAGTCTAAAAATGGCATTTCTGAGGTTTCTTCTCAACCTATACATCCTTTTTTATGGCTCACACAACCGGTACAAGACAAACCATGTGCACATGTACCTTTGGGTGTCGGCACGCGTGGATCTGGGTATTGCGGTCCGTCGTGAGATGGTGAAGGATGTCGGGCATGTTTCTAAACATGTCTAGCTTATCCACGTGAACCTCCAGGAAATAATAATATACATGAGCAAATTATTCAAAATGTACTTCCTATAACTGAATTGTTCAAGGATCATTAGTCAGAGCAAAATGTCCAGCCCATGAACAAACCCTCTCTTCATTCTTAAAACCTAGCTTTTGGCTATTTCCACGCACGTTAGTATTCTGCCAGGATGTCAACAGTCACGCATCTCACTGGTCAGGGTCACTGCCTATCACTGCAGAAATAAAATGTTACCAAGACTCAGCTCATGCATTTCATTCGATCCTGCTAATACTGTCCTTTCATTCTTCAAAAGGAATTCAATTAATATTTATTTTGTGCCTATGTATGTCCCACTTGGCTCTCAATGCTGGGTAGACAGCAGTGATCAAAGCAGACAAAAATAGTCAGGAATCAGCTCGTTAAAGACACACACACAGCATGCCACAGGGGAGCAGCTGGGAGAGGGTGGAAAGCTAGACATGGAGGCGTAAGGCCCAGTCCCCTTCCCACACTCCACTCCACTGCACTCAGAGCAGGAAGGCAGGTGCAGAAGGCAGGTATGCAAACCCAGGCCACCTTCAGAAGGTCAAGGCTACTATGTCTTAAAGCATTAAACCCAATGTGTCAGTTTTTCTTCAAGGTCATCTTCTGGGTATTTCCAAGTATATGACAAGTACTTAACCTGACAATAGGATTATAAAATTTCAAAAAAGTAATACTCTCAGCCAGGTGTAGCTTGTGACTATAATCCCAGCTGCTTAGGAGGCTGAAGCAGGAGAACTGTTTGAGGCCAAGAGTTCCACAGAAGAAAAGAAATAACCAAAATTAGAGCAGAATTAAATGAGATTGAAAACAAAAGGATTATAGAACAGATCAACAAATCAAAAAGTTGGTTTTTTGAAAAAATCAACAAAATCGATAAACCTTTGGCCAACCTAGCCAAGAAAAAAAGAATAAAGTCTCTAATCTTATCAATCAGAAATGGTAAAGATGAAACAACAACAGACCCTTTAGAATTCAAAAAATCCTTAATGAATATTACAAGAAACTTTACCAATACTTGGAAGCACGTCGTCTCCCAAGACTTAGCCAGAATGCAGTGGAAATGTGGAACAGACCCATATCCAGCTCTGAAATAGCATCAACTATACAAAATCTCCCAAAAAAGAAAAGCCCAGGACCAGATGGCTTCACGTCAGAATTCTACCAACCTTTAAAGAGGAACTAGTACCTATATTACTCAACCTTTTCCATAACATAGAAAAAGACAGAATACTACCCAACACATTCTATGAAGCTAACATCACCCTGATCCCCAAACCAGGAAA